ATTGTGATAATCAATCCGCTATACGCATATCAGAAAATCCCGTATGCCACGCGAGAACAAAACATGTCGAAGTTCACTATCACTTCGTTAGAGAAAAAGTACTCAAAGGGGACATAGAGATGAAGCACGTCAGTACGGAAGACCAAGTAGCCGATGTATTCACCAAAGGGCTCAATTTTTCAAAATTCGAAGAGTTTCGAACACGCCTTGGAATGGTTCGAGAAGAAGACTTAACTCGAGAATGTCGGTGTTAGGGGGGAGTGTTAAAAAAAAAAAATCAACACCGAACTCTTTAGAAACTATTTTCAAAAAGCATCTTGATATTATTAAAGTAATTGTAACTAGAATCATCTAGGATATTTTAAGTCGCTTATCAACCGACATTAACCACTATAAATAGGCTTGAGTGGTGAGAGTTATGTGTGTGAGTGAATTTATTTTGTGTGTGCTGAGTGAGCAAAATAATAAAACTGAGGTGTGTGCTTGTGTAGTGTGAGTGCTTACAAATAAAATTAATTGTGAGTTGTGATAGTGATATTTGTAATAAATTATTTGTATAATAAAATTATTTTGTTGAGTTAATCTTGAGTGTATGGGCCATTTATTTTCAACACGGTAATGTTAGGCAAGTTAACTGTTGTGACTATTTTTGTTACGTTTTTCATATTTGTTTTACATTTATTTTTCCCCCCGTTTTAGGTCTTTTCGTGAGTTTTTAGTTCGTTTTGTGTTTTATTATGTGTTTTGTTCCATTTGGATTTTTTTGTGTTTTTTGCGTGTTTTTCCGGTTTTTCGTGTGCAGGTTGGAAGCTTTTGGAAGTAAAGGATTTCAGGAAAATATTTGCTGGGCTAGCATATTAAAATAGAGGAGTTCGTTGACGACCCGTAGGAAAAAAACAAAACTCAATTCCGAGTTCGGACGAGCTCAAACGAGACCAAATCGCAAAGTCGCGCAGCGCATTTTTTCAATTCGCGAACAAGCTCGGTATTTATCATCTTGGACCTATTTTCTCCACTTCTCTTCCACTAATCCGAAAATCATGCAACTTTTGAGTTGAATATTCATCATGAAGTTGATCATGGAGTACTTAATCTTGATTTATGCCATAATGCTCCATGATTCATTTTTTTAATCCATTATTCACACTATAAATACCACCTCTTTTCACCATCTTCTCATCCTTCATTTTTCATAGTTATGTAACATTCTAATCCTTTATTCCTCTTCTTAAATACTTGTCTTGAGAAAGAAGTGTTTAGGAGAAGGAATTTTGGAGAAGTTTGTATTTCATTTGGCGTGCACTTATTCTCGGTTTAGCACTTGTATCGAACTTAATTCTCGATTTGGATTTCTTGTAAGTTTTCTTTATAATAATTGCAATAAAGTTTATGTTGAGGTTATTTTTGATATGAGTAACTAAATCACTTGCTACGGATAAGGGATGAACATTTGAATTAGTATGTGATTATTGTGCTCGTCAATTGTTCACTTGTGTGAGTTAATTATTAATTCGGTTTTTGATTTTCACGTTGGAATAAATATTGTTGAAAAGTGACATTTCAACCTTGTTAATTGATTTCTAAGTATTGAAGAGTGACACTTCAATGTTAAACTTGTTTTCACATTTGAATATTATGTATTCCATTCTGACGATCAAGACCCGAATAAACTACACGACTGGTAATTTTTCTAGTTTATTCTAATCGACTATTGAACCGAAAGGTGAACAATCGATCGATCGAGACTCATACAAAAAAGACTTGTTCTGAAAGGTATTGTCTATGTGTTAAACAATTCATTAATTTACCGTTTATATTTATTCTCTTGTTCCGAAAGGTATTGAGGATGAATCCCTAAACGTGTAAGTGACTTGAATCCTTTAACCGAACGATAACAAGCCGATAATTGCATTACTATTTAACATGTTCATTCCCGATTTCCTAGCTTCTTTATCTTTGTGTTTTTTATATTTCTAGGTAGATTTATGTTTTATGCTATTTCTTAGTTAATAATTAAAAATAAAAAACCAAAAGCCTATCTTGATTAGAATGTTTAGGATTTATTTTGCTTTCATGTGTTATCAATACCAATTTTAAATTCCGAACCGTCTTCCTCGAGAGATCGACCCGTGGAACGAATCTTTTGATTCGATACTCGGTAAAATAAAAATAATTTGCTACATTAACCCAATCGATGATATCATTCAACACATTCAAATAAAGATAGAAGCAGCCCATGCCGATCTTTCCTTGCTTGCGCTCGCGGTTCCGGTTAGAGGCCCGGGGCACGGTGTCGTCGGCGGCTGCGTAGCCCGTGCCACTGCCATCCACCGCCGCAGCCCGTGGTGCATCTCCACTGTCGCCGTTCTTGCAAGCAGGCTCGTATTCGGACAGATTGTTCATACTCAAGCTCTTCCTCATTGGATCAACCTTGACTCTCACCCCGAAGATTATGATCTCGTAGACTCCGCCGGATATATTACAGTGTGAAAAAATTGGGCAATACTGGAAAAAAAAGGAAAAAAAAAATGGGGTCAGCAAGCAGGGATGTGTCGATTTCACTGAACTTTGCCCATTTCCCAGTCCGTTACAATTGAATAATGGGATTTCTTTTGCTTTTCTTTTTATTTCCTGTTTTTTTCTCTTCAATGATAGTAATAATGGAGTGAAAACGGGTGAGTGCCTTTTTATTTAGGGAGGGATTGCATTTAATATGCCTGAAAATAAGGTAATAACGGTTCCATCCCAATATCAGGTAAAATTTAAATATTTTTTGCTTGATTAGGCAATTTTATAAATAAAAATATAAGGGGTATATAAGTGTAATAAAAATCATAACTGTTAGTAAGGGGTGCAAATTCCTATAAAATTTACGCTCAAACCAATTTTATCCAACATAGCCCAGTCAAGTGAATGTTTCGGGCTTGCCTCCGAGTCACATTTAGCGGGGAATCACTGGTTAATTGTTGAATTGGTAATTATATATAGCCATTTTTTTTTTATAAATAAAGAATAATATTATATGTAAATTTTATCTCTTAATGTGTTAACAATATCGGCCACTCGTCTGATTCAAATAATCCACCCAAACTATGGGAAAACCCAATAATATGAACCCAATCATAACTACTTTGATAAGATATTTTCATCTCAAGCTTATATAGAAAACAAGAACTCCAAACTCAAGGACATATACAAACATTCCATTACAACATGATCTTGAACAATGTAGATTGTAAGTTAAAATATGTATCTATATGTTTATTTACTTCACACCACAAAAAGTAGATGAACTATCAAATTAATATAATGGAAAGAATTATAGGAAAAGGGTGAAATAAGTTGACGTGAAGGATGGTTCTTGCAAATAGGAGTGATGGATAAAGTTTGGTGGTGGGTGACTGGGTGTGACATTCTTCAACCAAAATTTGCTTCATAATAATTCTACAGATAACTTACTTAATTGGCTTCTTACCACCACAATGTTGTTGTTCATCTGCCTTACCAAAAGGCAACAACAAATCCTTGATCATTTTTTATTATCTGCCTTTTGATTGGACGGTTTATTTTATAATTTAATTTGTTCTTTTTATTTAAATCATGTATGTGAAGTTTATGGTGGTTGATTTATTTATAATTTCTGGTATAGGTAGCTGCCTAAATTAGATCATCACTTAGAAATGGTTAATCTTTATTCTTCAAATGAATCTGTCCACGAATTTCCAATCAAAATTGTAGTGCAACTCAGTTAATTTTTATAAGTTGTATCTGATATATTATTAATAAAGGAAAATCCCACCAATATTTAAAAATCAAAATTAAAATTATAGAGTTTGTTAAATAATGATCAATAATTTAAGACAAAGTGTTATGAAATTTGATTCAACGTTTACAATAATTTCGCAATAAATGAAACAATGATCAATAATTAAATATGAGTCTACAAAGTTAGAAAACACTTATAACAATGACAATATGTTAAAATATTTCATTAAAAAATATTAAAATATTTTTCGTATAACCAAAAATTTTAAATGCAACATAAGAAAATAAAATCTCACATGATGATATTGGTTTGTTCCATAAATAAGTGATACAATATTAATTAATATATATGTATATATATATGCTACAAGTCAAGAATTTTATGATTCTAGATTGAATAATAAATTAAGAACTTAAACATGATTAGAATATGATAGCTTTTTGGCCTTTTGGGGATACAAAGTAACACAGTTCTCAAATGCATGCATTGTCTATTGGACCAAGACTTGACATTCGTCGTTTTGACAAAACCAAAATTGTAAAAATAAAGTTCAAACTCCGATAAGATCTATAAAGACGTGAGATTCATAATCTCATATTCTAGATATTGGCTCATAAGGTCAATACTGGATCAAACTTTATCGAATTATATACACAATAATCTTAAAAAGTACTTATACATTCACATACAAATGACGACCATCAGACCTAATTAATTTAAATTACAAATAAAACGGAAGAATAATTATACTCTTTTCAATTTGTTAACCTTTTCTTTTCCTTTTTAGTAATTGTTTATTTTCTAAAGTTTGGTGTTGCAGAATTTCCACCCATCACTTACTAATCAAAATCAAGCTCACCAAATCCATGCAGTACAACTCTACAAAGTAGTACAAAATCATGTATTCGTAACTTCGCTATTTTACGATTTTACCCTTTTTGTCAACAACAATAAAAAAAGTCGATTACAAATCCACGCTTTGCCTTCTTCCCATTTTCTTAACCATCCTCAGACTTTTCTTCTTCTTTCTCGACGCGTATTCAATTAAATACATCACCTATATTAATTAAGGAATTAATTCGTTTTTTAATCATCTTCTTTTCTTCCATTCGAGCCTCAATGGACAAATTAATTAATTAAGTATACAGATATAATCATCGCCTTCTGTAGATTATATTGCACGTCTGTGACGGAGGTGGTTGGTGGGGTTTAGCCTTATAGGGCGGCGCTGACCATGAGGGGCCTGCAGTTGACTGCCGACGGTGGGAATGGATTGGGGATTCCGGCGGAGGATGCCGGCGAGGAGGACAAACTGCTGAGCTCGTTCGACGAGGAAAGTTCCGGGCATTTGCGGAGGATACAGGTGACCGTGACGGGGATGATGTGTGCGGCGTGCTCGAATTCTGTGGAATCGGCTCTCATGGACCTAAATGGCGTCGTTAGAGCCGTCGTCGCGTTGCTTCAGAACAAGGCTGATGTCAGCTTTGATCCTATTTTAGTAAAGGTCTGGTAGGGCTTTTTTTTTTTTTTTTTTTTTTCTTATTGGTTTCTATATGGATTTGTTTTAGTGGGTTTGTGTGCAAATTCTGAATATCACATTTACAGGCATTTTTTGTGCGTTATTGGGTCGATCTATTCACCGGGTTTATAACTTTGAGAGATCTTTATAGATAAGCTAAAGTGGAAAGTGAGTTGGGCATGATTTATAATTTACTGCAAATGCATTTAATTGTTCTATTATTTTTCCGCAATAATTATGGATGAGCTTTGTTAGCTGTAGTATTTCTGACTAGTCCTCGATTTGTATCCTTTTTTCAAGTTGCATTCTTCATGTTATGATAATTGCTAAAGATAAAGACTTTTACTGCCCTTGAGGTGTTATACATAGTGGGTCTTGATTGGACTTTGAGCTGTCCTACTTTTTGTTTCAGGATGATGACATTAAGAATGCAATAGAAGATGCTGGATTTGAAGCGGAAATTCTACCTGAGCCGAGCACATCTCAGTCTAAGCTGCATAGGACCTTAATAGGTCAGTTCACAATTGGGGGAATGACATGTGTTGCTTGTGTAAATTCTGTAGAAAGGAATCATATGTAAGCTTCCGGGTGTGGAAAAACTTGTGGTCGCCTTGGCTACATCGTTTGGAGAGGTTGAGTATCACCCATCCATTATCAGTAAGGAGGATATAATTAATGCGATCGAAGATGCTGGTTTTGAAGCTTCTTTTGTACAGAGTCATGAGCAGGACAAAATTGTGCTAGGGGTTGCTGGGGTTGTAAGTGAAGTGGATGTACAGGTTTTGGAAGGAAATCTTTGCAACTTAAACGGTGTGAGGCAATTTCATTTCGAGCGAAGAACTAGAGATTTTGAAATTCATTACGATCCAGAGCTCCTCAGTTCTAGACCGATTGTTGATGAGATTGAAAGTAACAGTTAAGGAAAACTAAAGTTGCTTGTAAAGAACCTTTATTCCAGAATGTCTTCGAAGGATTTGGAAGAGTCTTCAAACATGTTTCGTCTGTTCACAGCAAGTTTATTTCTCAGTGTGAGCAACCACTTCACACCTGATTGAATTACTTATCATCTTTTCCATAGATTAGGTTCTGGTACTTCAACTATTTTATCCGGCAGAAATTTTTAATTTTAAAGATTGTCGTATAATGCGAATGATTGTATCTGAGGTACTAGTCCGTGGAACTTCTTTTGGCTGATTAACTCAAATCTTTCTTTATTACAAGAATTAATTTATTACTTGATGAGGTTTCTTTATTCATAAAATGTCCTTATTCAACTGCTACTGGATTTGGTGCAGGTTCCTGTCATGTTCATGCAAGTCATCTGTCCTCACATACCCCTGTTATATTCTTTACTACTAAGGCGTTGTGGTCCATTTCAAATGGGCGATTGGTTGAAATGAGCTCTAGTCACAGTTGTTCAATTTGTTATCGGTAAACGATTCTATGTTGCAGCTGGCAGAGCACTAAGAAATGGTTCCACCAACATGGATGTCCTGGTTGCATTGGGAACATCAGCTTCATACTTTTACTCTGTATGCGCGTTACTATACGGTGCCATGACCGGGTTCTGGTCCCCGACTTACTTTGAAGCAAGTGCAATGCTAATTACATTCGTACTTCTAGGTAAGTACTTGGAAAGTCTTGCAAAAGGAAAGACATCTGATGCTATCAAAAAGCTCGTGGAGCTTGCTCTTGCTACTGCTATATTGCTTATCAAAGACAAAGGTGTGTTTTTTTTTCCTAGTAACTGTGTACTGTCAGAGAATAAGTCAAAGTTTGGTACATTACTACATTAAATTTAAACCAGCTGATTTGTGGATTTGTATGCTCTGCTGATGTAGGTGGGAAAGTTGTTGGAGATAGAGAAATTGATGCTTTATTGATTCAGCCTGGTGAAATATTAAAAGTACTCCCAGGTACAAAGGTTCCTGCTGACGGTTCGGTTGTGTGGGGCTCAAGTTATGTAAACGAGAGTATGGTTACTGGTGAATCTGCTCCAGTTCTGAAAGAAGTCAATTCTTCATGTATTGGTGGCACAATCAACTTGCATGGTGCCCTTCACATACAAGCCAATGAAGTAGGCTCGAACACAGTTTTAAGCCAAATTATCTCTCTGGTTGAGACGGCTCAGATGTCTAAAGCTCCCATTCAAAAATTTGCAGACGTTGTGAGTTTTCAATTCTCTTGAAGTGTCATGTTGTGGTCTGTGCTATATGTTAGATTCTCATTGTGTGCTAATCTTCATAGATAAGCAAGGGCACCCAAAATAATCAACCTCTTTCTGCCAATAAAAAAGAAACTGACATAACCACAAAATTTTAAAAAACAATATAAAACGAGAAGAGAAGGAACCCCCACTCACCCCCATCGATGCCTGAAAAATGAAAATGAACAAAAAGATAAAATTTTAATCAGCATTGTCAAGCAATTTTCGTTTGTCGGTGCATTTACTATTTGTATGTTTGAATTTATCAAAAACTTTCAGTTGGATCTTGGATGAGGTATTCAGTATCATCATATGCATCACTTTTTTTTTTAATGCTAGTACAGATTCCTTATGTTGATAACTTTTCTGACCTGCAGATTGCTAGTGCTTTTGTCCCTGTAGTAGTAAGTGTGGCGTTGCTGACCTTAGTGGCATGGTAAGATTTGCTATCTCCAAACTTTGCGCTGATATATTTTCTACAATTAATGAGATGTTCATATGAAAAATCTGGATTGTTAACTAATCGTTATCAACATTTTGCTCTTAATTTGCAGGTATTTTGCTGGGGTTCTTGGAGGCTACCCTGAAGAGTGGCTGCCTCAGAATAGCAATTATTTTGTTTTCTCCCTTATGTTTGCAATATCAGTTGTGGTGATTGCATGTCCATGTGCACTTGGATTGGCCACCCCAACAGCTGTCATGGTAGCAACATGTGTTGGAGCTAACAATGGCGTGCTTATAAAAGGAGGAGATGCATTGGAGAAAGCACAAAAGGTCAAATATGTCATATTCGATAAGACTGGAACTCTAACCCAGGGGAAGGCAACAGTAACCACTGCGAAACTTTTTTCAGGCATGGATCGTGATGAATTTCTTAAATTAGTAGCTTCGGCAGAGGTAAGATATCTGTCTATGAAGTTTTGCATATTCCTCTTCGTGTGCCTCAACATTATTTATTATTATTCTTTTAATTGGTGGTATTTAAGAAGCAGTTGATGGCACTTGGCTGCATGCCAGTTCCAATGACAAATCAATCAAATGAAAGTTATAAACATGACTTTTGAACTATTATATGTTTTTCTTTATTTTTATTTATTCTTTTCTCCTGTCTCAGGCTAGTAGTGAGCACCCACTGGCCAAAGCGCTACTTGAATATGCTCGTCATTTCCATTTCTTTGATGAACCTGCTTCTACTAAGGATGATCTGACACGTGGGCCAGAATCTAACTCCTTTGGATGGCTCCTTGACGTCTCAGAATTTTCTGCTTTGCCTGGACGTGGTGTGCTGTGCTTTATAGGCGGGAAAAAGATTTTGGTTAGTTTCTAGCCGCCAATTTCAAATGTCTCCATATTCATAACCAAAAGAAACATTTTGGCATTCACTCCTTCACTGCTCATTTAAAACTCTACCCTTTATACAGGTTGGTAATCGGAAGCTAATGACTGAGAATCGTGTTGCAATCCTGGAGCATGTTGAAGATTTTGTTGTAGAGTTGGAAGAAAGTGCCAAGACCGGAATCCTTGTGGCTTACGATAACCACATTATTGGTGTTCTAGGGTTAGCAGATCCTTTGAAGAGGGAGGCTCCGGTTGTCATTGAATGCCTCAAGAAAATGGGTGTGACTCCTGTTATGGTTACTGGTGATAATTAGAGAACAGCCAAATCTGTGGCAAATGAGGTGAAGTTCTCAGAAGAAACTGAAACCCAATTTATAAAAGTCCCAATTTCTACTCGGAAAATCAAGACAAAAGTCCCAACCTAGTTCAATGGCCAAGACAAACCTCTATACGGGCCGGGGGCCGCCACTGATTCAGTGCGGAAAATCAAGAGGGACGCTGATTCGGTGCGGAAAAATTAAGAGAGCCACCACTGATTTGGAGGTCGGAGGTCGCATATATGATGGCGCTTGTTCTTTGTCATTAAAAAAAAAAAAAAAGAAAAACGAGAAGATGTGCAAGTGGGACTTGGGAGAGATGGTGTAACTTTTGATTCGGAGATGGTGAGTATATTTCTCCCAGGCTCCCTCTGAAGCCTATCCCGCCGGAATTCTCGAAAATCGTGGCAAGTGCGATTTAGGACAACGGCAATTTATGCGGGTCGCTACCGATTCAGTGCAAAAAATCAAGAGGACACGCTGATTCGGGGCGGAAATACAAGAGGGTCGCCGCTAATTCGGAGGTCGCAAATCTGGTGGTACTTGTTCCGTGAAAAAAACTGAGAAGACGGTGGGACTTGGGAGAGATGACACTGTGTTCCTTGTCGCAAATTAGTTTATGATATAGTATATGTACATAATACATGTTTTTTATCTCTCTCTATTAGTTTATGATCAGTATATGTACAGTATATTTTATATAATTTTTTATGGAAAACATGTTTTTCATTGCAACATATATGGAATATATACTAAAATAAACGCAATATATACCTACCTGCACAACTGCGTCAGTTACAATACATATAAAATAAAGCATAAAAGTAAAATAAACAATACATAAACTCAATATATACCAAAAAAATATTCAAAAATTGATTTAATACAAGCATAAACTGATTTTTTTTATATGTATGGTTTATATTCAGTATATTTTCGATATATGCATGATTTATATTTAGTAAAATCATGAAAAATATATACAATACATATACCAACCATATTTTGATGGTTTTTTATGTATATATATTACATATATATGCAGTATATATCTAGACAATAGATTTTGTGCGTGTTTAAAATCACATTCTAGTGTATTTGTTCTATGGGTGTTTATCAGACATTGTGATTTATATGATTTTTAGTATCAATAAAGGAAATGTTTTTTCTTTTCTATGGAAAGGCGGAAATCATGGAAGAAAGTGGATGGAGTCCACGTTTTTAGGTAACTGAATTTTAATGTTAAATGTAGTTAAATCTTGACAATTAGATAGGAATACAATTATTTATTTATGGACGGTAGATTTGCAAAATTTTCAATTTATACATAAAAAATTCCCATCTATTTTTCCAAATTAGGCTTTTAGCTAAAAGCCCAAAATCAAATTAAGCCCATCGCAATCGATCACATTCGTTGGTAGAGGACCCCAATACATACGATGTCTCCCAAAAGCAATAACCTGGTGTTCGTCAATGCGCAGGGGTGGGATTGAAATTCTATTCTCTGAAACCCTAAATACTCCCTCCCCTCTAATTTGTCCGTGCCATTAGCAAACAGGGCCAGAAAGTGTAGCTCCGTTGATTATATTGCCGTCGGTTTGATCTCACTTTTAATATATTATTCCAATTTTAATTGGTAGACTGAGGAGAGTAATAGTTGAATCGAATGGGGAAGAAGAAGAAGAGAGGAGCTGTAGATAAGATGTGGTGCTACTACTGCGATCGGGAGTTTGAAGACGAGAAGATACTGGTGCAGCATCAGAAGGCCAAGCACTTCAAGTGCCATGTCTGCCACAAGAAGCTCTCTACCGCCGGCGGCATGGCCATCCATGTTCTCCAGGTCCACAAGGAACAAGTCACCAAGTCTGTTTCTTTCCACCTCCTTTTACTTTTTACATTCTTATTTATTTTATTTTGGGACCATAGTCACACCTATTTGAGTATTTTCCATGCCCCGTGCCTTTCATTGTCTTGATTGAATAGTTACCTTCATTTTTTTTTATACTGGGTATGTTGTTGTTGTTGTTGTTGTTTATTTTTTTATTTTTATGTATAATGTATTGGGCTACATAGGCTTTATTGAAATTAAACTCCCGGATAGCTTGGGCACACTTTATTTCTTAGTGGGACAATATTTCTGCATTCGTTGTACAGTTGTGAGTGACAATGATGGTGGAAGTTTACTCTTATGCAACTCAATATTGTTTCTCAGGGTTCCAAATGCAAAACCTGGACGAGAATCAACGGAGATTGAGATTTATGGAATGCAAGGAATTCCACCTGATGCCTTGGCGTCTCATTATGGAGAAGAAGGTATTGTACCTTTTTATGCACTGTTCCTTATTCTTTACTTGTGGTCGAGCTTCAATTTTATTAAATTGAAAATTTTGGGTGTGGAAGTTATAAATAAATTGAAAAACACCAATGTATTTATTTGGTGTCATTCTAGTGAAATGTTTGTTTGTTTTAGAAACCAATGACTTTAAATTGGAAAACCAAAAATCAAAATCAAGTTAGACTAATTTGGATGCAACCTTCAATTGTCTTCACGGTGTAATTTGGATGTTTTATAAAGTTTCTCTCCAGTTAATTCTGATTTTTGATGTTTGGATTATTGTAACAACTGAAAAAATGGATTCTGCATCCTGGACATTTTACGCGCCACTGATCTCTTGTTGGTCTTTTGCAGAAGAAGAGACTCCATTGAAAGCAGCTAAAGTTGATATTCCTGCCTCCCAAGTTGTTGGCAGTGCATTATCTGGATCGGTTGGGTTTCCTCCACAGCCAAATTTGGGAGCAATGCCCCATCTGTAAGTTGCTTGAATACTACACTTCGTGGAATTGTAAGCTGTTATTTGTAAAACAGGAGAACATTTAATTGGAAGTGGAAATTGTTGGACTGTTTTTATGTGCTTCAGTAGTTGAGTGGTAAATGGCTGGATGTTGACTACGTGTTTTGATTGATAATGTTTATGTTTTATTGCATTAATTTTCATTCCCTCCAATAAAAGTAGACTTGCTTGGTGCTCGGAAGTTACTCTGTTAGGCATCACCCACCTTATTGAAAAAGTTAGTTTGATGGTATTAATTCTTAACTCAGTTTTTTTTTTTTTATTTGAACCAACTGATACTTATGCAAAAAGAGAGAGAAGAAAATAGAAAATCAATTGGCAGTGAGTACAATATCTGTATTTTTGCGAAATCATCTTACGTGGCTTTTATGATGCAATGATTGCAGTTACAATCCCAGTCTTCCCGTGTCTCCAATGGGTTGGCAGGTCCCACCTCGCCCACAACCATGGTATCCTCAACATCCTGCTCTCTCGATGCCACCTGCACAAGTGGGACTGCCTCAACAGCCTCTGTTTCCTGTACATAATGCCCATCCTCCTTTGCCTTCAGCAACACCCACTTTGATTCAATCTTTACCAATCACGCCTCCAGGAATGCCTGCGACTACACCTCCTATTCCAGTTTCTCAGCCTTTATTTCCTGTGGTTCCTAACAATAATATTCCTCCTCAAAGCTCTCCATTTTCTGCTGCTATTCCTCCAATAAGCATACATAGTGGATCCTCTGTAGAAATAAAGAGTTCGGAACCACATTTTACCGGCACTTTGCCTGGCAACAGCTATCAGTCCGCAGGAATTCCAGGTTTGCCGTCCCTTCTCAATCTTTATTTCATGTAATATTGTGATGCCTATATATTGGACGCAAATGTAATTGAATGATTTCTGCACATAAGGTTGTTAATGACACAAAGGATAACTTGTGCAATTCTATGGTGGTGGTTCTTTAAGCTTTTATTCCTTATTCTTTAGAACTCATGTGAATACTTATTTGAAAACTAGAGTAATAAATATTCTTTCTCACTTTGTTTTCTTGTCATTTTTTAAGGAGCAGTACCTCCTCCTGTGAGTTCGCACTCCTATGCCTCCGGTCCAAATACCGGTGGCCCTTCAATCGGGCCACCTCCAGTAATTGCAAATAAGGCTCCTGCTGCCCAGCCTGCTACTAATGAGGTGTACTTGGTGTGGGATGATGAGGCTATGTCCATGGTTAGTTATTCTTCTCGTCTATGTGATGTTTCTCACCTGTTCTTTTTTGGCCAACACTTTTTTACACCTATTTGAACATTCTTTCAGGAGGAAAGAAGAATGTCGTTGTTGAGGTATCAGGTGCATGATGAGAATAGCCAGGTAAGTCGTAATCATCTTGTAACGATATGCTTTTCATGGATATTGGGTTCAATTGATCAAATGTCATGGTGTGCTGGGCCTTTACTTGCGCCAGTTTTCTCATTTGCGTGTTAACTCTTTGTTTGGAGATGTTTCTTCCCATATTTCAATTCTCTCGTTAAAAAGAACAAATAAACCGAAATGCTGTTAGCAATTTGATCATGTATATGGCTACTTTTGAATCCTATAAATGCAATGGGCTATTTTTACTTTATTGACCATTCTCCTGTTGGCAAGCAATCTCACCTGATTTTGTGCTCAACAAAGGTACAAGTCAAGTAGCTACTTTTTTTCCCCCTTTGCTAATTAGCAATTTAAGTTCTGGATGGTCATGCTGCAACTACTCCAGGCCTCCTCATAGCCTGGTACAAGGTTAAGAACCGAGTATATGTACTTAAATATTCATAAATTTTAATTTTGCATATTTTCTTTGATCATTACGCTTGGGTTTGGGTGGAACAACCATTAGCAAACAGATTTTTGCCCGTACCCTTTTTTTAAGATCGAACGTGAATACAGTGGTCCAGGTCAGCTCCTTCTGCGAAGTTTGTATCTATGGACTACAAACAAAGCTCTAATTATTACTGCTGATTTCTATACGTGCTATTTTTGGCTTAACTGACATTAAGTTGCTGGGTCACCTTTTCAGATGAGCTCAATAGATGCTGCAATTGACAGAAGGATATCTGAGAGCAGGCTTGCTGGTCGCATGGCTTTTTGACGGACGCGTAGAAAATATATCTTTGCAGATTCTAGTACAAAAATCTGATGGTTCTATCCAAGCATGTTTCTTGCAATTTCTTTACATTTACCTGTTGTATTCTTTAGACAAATGGTTGAAGGATAGATAGCCTGTTCATACTGAAGTTCAGATTTTACCTGCCTTCTGCAATCTCTTTTTGTCATTAAATTAGAAATTGTTAACTTATGAATTAGAAGTACTGAGATCAAATGATTAATGCTGTTGGTTTGTTTTTTCAGAATTCACCATTTGTATTAGTTAGACTAATAACAACTGTGTTTATTTTTTTTTCTCACTTAATTTGATAATTTATTCAGTAGATAGTGATGAGTTGCGAGTGATTCTGTGATTGTGGTATGTGCTGAGCGTGATTCAGTAGATAGTGATGGTTATTCATCCTTTGTTTGTTTGCGAAAGATGAAATGTAATTTTGTCTAAACTTGCTATGTGAGGAGATTAATTTATATGTGTAATATCTAGAAGTCTAAAGTTAATGCATAATATCTAGAAATCTAAGTTTAATAATAACAAGCGCATTGTTGCGGAATAAATATGTTTGCAAATTGGGAAAATTTTAAATGAAATAACAATTATATAACTAATGACTCAACTTTACATGTATTTCTTTCTCATTATCATGCGAAAAAACAAACAAATTTAAATGGAACAACGATATAACAAATAACTTTCACCTTTACATCTATTTCTTTCTCATTCTCATGCTAGAAACCAAAAAAGAATAATCTATCCAGCAACAGACTGAAGAAGACAAAAATATCAATTACCGCATAAAACATTAGAGCCCCTTCTGCCAAAAGGAGAATCTCTCAAATAGGGAAAATGGCTCTTTTAGAATCAAATACAACAAAAACCAGTTTCAGCTCTTTGAATCTCTGAGAAGCCAAATCTTCTACTGCGTATGGTATGAGAGACCCCTTCTGTACACATACGAAGTTGGCAATGATCATGTGCAGACTTATTTAACTCTAACCATGAGGATTAGATGAACATCCCTCTTGAATATGGACCGAAGCTCCTCATTAGCTTCGATACCTATCCTCCTGAAAAGTGAAATTTTAAGACCAAGTTTAACGATTGATCTTATTTATAACTTTAAGAAAAAAAAGACAGAAAACTACTAACCCTATTTTGGAGCCCTTTTTCCCGACTAGAATTTTTCGTTGGCTGACTTTGGGAGTGATGAAGTGTTGTTCAATTCGGAGTGAGCCATCTCTTAACTCTTTCCAACCCATCAAGCGATGTTCGATGCCATATGGTATTTCCTACATGTAAATAATAAATCAGCCTCTATTACTATTCCAACTCATTGCCATTGCAATTTAGAAATCAAAAACATTACCTGATGCACATAGTCCAACAATTTTTCTCTCACAACTTCTAAGGATATGTTCTTCATAACTTCTTCGCTCATGGCAAATGGATCTTCATCCCATGGTCTTTTTACTGCCTAAGCATACATAAGATTAGAAAAGCACTTGTGGAGCCTTCGGGGTATTAATTTCTCCATGTTATGCACAGTCAAATTAGATGTGTTGTCGTGAACACATTTTGCAGTAAAATTTTAATTTAACGAAGCAAAAAAAGCGAGAGCTCAACTATTGATAGTTGCAGAGAGAACATGTCCTCCAAAAACTTACCATAGATAGTCTCTCAAATTGTTATAAACACTAGAAATTTGTGAACAAGCAAAACAATTTCGACACAGCTTGTTGCAAAGCATCTAGGTCAAAGCATAATTACGTAATTAACAAGAAGACATGTGCATTTCGTGCCAGATTAAGCAGTAACAAACAGCAAAAGAGCATTCAGAGATACCGAGTAAGTTGGACGTGTCAGCTTTTCAACCATACCTGCTCAATTAAATACTGAGTAAGGTCTCTGATCCCAGCACCCTTCAGTCCTGAGATCATGAAGAACCTATACACACCGATGTCAGGCACTGCAGTGGTCAATTGAGAGAGATAGAGAGATAGAGAGATAGATAGATAGAGAGAGAGAGAGAGGGAGAGAGAGAGAGAGAGGGAGAGAGAGAGAGAGAGGGAGAGAGAGAGCGAGAGAGAGAGAATAGCATACCTATCATAGCCAGGAAGGTCTTTGAATTCTTCCACAACCTTGAGCAGATCATTCTTCTTTGCGACCATGTCAACTTTATTCATGCATAACACACGCTTCTGGCTTGTGTTGCTAATTGAACCCATTCTTTCAATCAATCTCACCACTCGTGAATCAGGTCTAGGTTATTGAAAAAATTTAAGATAAATGTGTAGTTGATATCTTACTGCAACAGAGCAAAAATGTGTGACTTGATCCACAGCACACCACGTATGCAATATCATTCTCAAAGCATAATGATATAAAGCAGTTTTGAGCTCTATTAACAATTGGAAAACTATAAAAGCTTGATGAATAGACTCTTGTAGGAAAATGATTTGGTTCCTCAAATCAAACTTAACACTCGGGTTTTCAGAAGTTGGTTATATTGACAGTGCCACAGCTAACCTTGTGCTTGTGGACATGATTTTTAGCGTTTATACCTGTTACATTTATAGATTCGGGGGAAGGGGTGAGGTCCCATAGAGGTGTGGACTAGAGGCTTAAATGTGCAAGGAAAAACTGACCAGTTAAGAGGCTGTGAGCATCAATACAAATATGAGCACATAATAGAATTATAGAACTGTAAAGATTAATTTAGATAAAGAAAACTGGTACCTTGTAATATGTCTGTGAATATCAAATATGACGATTAAAACATCATACAAGTTAATGGAACTCCATGCACTTTCATTGCGAACTTTGATATCGTTATAAGGAAATCCACTTTTCTTTAACATAAGCCCAGGCGTATCGAAGAAGCACTGCATGAACACTGAACCAGTCAGATATATTCTGTAAAAAAATAAGAATAAAATTTTTTTCACATAACAACACATTTTAGCATGTTTCTTCACTAAAAATGGGGCAGATACAAGAATGAAAGTGGCATCTACTTCCAATCAACCTAAATGCTCAATAACTATTGAACTTCACACCAAAGGCCCACAACAGGAGAATACTCCTGCCCAGATCACCTCTAAATCCCAGCATCATGTATGGTGCATCTTTTACTCGTCCTATAATCTTATCATGCTTCACAAGTAAAATAAAATTAAAAATTCTTATCCACATTTGATATCTCAGACATGCCCTCTTGGACAGTGGCCTCCCTTCTTGTGAGCAAAATGAGTATCATCACAGCAAAGCATATTCAGTAGGTGCATCCATTCAGATAACCCTTTATCATGCATTAGTACATAATTTCATTTCTTATCTTTCTGGAGTCCAACTTGTTGCTAAAGTATTGACTCTTGTGTACATGGAACACCAAATTAAATATAAGTACACTGAATAACAAGTGAAAAGCTACAACTGTCGATTAAATAAGAGGTGAATTTTCTGTCAGAAATGACATTAAATAGGGAAGAATCATAAACTGGGTACTTCATTTATTTGCATACGGTAGGACCATCTTATCAGCGTAACAGTAGAGTTCGAGGAAAAAGGCACGTCCTTTCCTAGATCATGTCTTGGAGAATTTCATTTGCAATAACATCACAAAAAGTGACTAAATAACTGAATAACTTAATCAACAGACACATCAATAGCCGCAATAAATATCTAGAAGTATAATCCAGAAAGAACAGTGTATAATGAGAACATACAATTTGTGTGTCTCCTTTAGTGAAAACTCCTAACACTTCGTGCGTGGTGGTATTGACCTTCCGTGAAACAGCTGAAACTTTAGTCCCAACCTAATACCAGGAGAAGAAAAAATAAATGAAATATCCCAAATTCAGCAACTCAAGAACCGCACCACATACGCATGAAACATGTCCTAAAGGACCTAAACCAAACCAAATGAAAAGAAAGCACAAGCTCCAGGTCACTAGAAACATTAATATCCTGAAATTATCTAGTCTACTGCCTTACAAAAAAGTGAATAAAATGTAATCAAACCATGCAATTAGTGAGGGCCGATTTTCCGGCGTTAGGAGCCCCAATAATACCAACAGACAAAGACTTTTGATCCTCCTCCGTCACGTCCCTCTCCTCCGCATCCTCATTATCATCTTCATCTAAAGCCGCTTCTAACAAGGCCCTGGCGAGGTTTCCAGCCTTCCTTTTCTTCACCTCTTCTCTCTCCAAAATTCTCGAATGTGAAACATCTTCCCCAAACACTTTGCTTTTCACTCTGTCCCTGTACTTCTCGTCCCACATCTGCTTCTCGCCATCATCTCCGCCGTCCGGATTGAGATTCAAATCAGCAAAATGGGAACTGTCGAACACAGCGTCCTGTGCAGTGGCGTACTCGTCAGGGTTTGGCGGCGCGGGGTCATCGTCATGCTGAGGCTGGGCTGAGTAGAAACGGTGGAAAAAAGCAGAAATGTTCAGGGGGTTTTGGGGGTTGGCGATTGGGGTCAGTGTTCTCAGTGCCCTCAGAGCTTTCATTTGCAAATCGAATTTCTGGCAAGAACAGAGGAATACTTCTTCTTGCTAAAGCATAAACCTTGATCTAAATAGCACTACTTTGAGATGCAGCTCTGAAAGTAGGCTGGAGTTAGAAGGGGCCAAATTCAGAGAGGGTTTTCGAGGGTTTAGTGGTGGTGGTGTTCAAACTGACATGTCCCGATTATTATTTATTATTTTGTTTGGTTTTGTAATTTTCTTATTTCCTCTGTTCATTTTATTTTGGGCCTACAGCTTTTTCTGTAAGAAAGGTATTACATTGGAAAATAAATGTTGATATAGGCATAATACATAAGCCCAAGTAGAAGGAAAGAATGTAACTTGGATTTCCAAATAGCCCAAGAGGCGGTCGGTCAACACTCATCCTTCTTGGGCCAGACACGGACTTTATTATCTCCCAGATGGTGAAAACACAGTTCGTGGCAAAGGTTTATTTTTTCAGGTAAGGAGGGTGGAGCCGTGGCGGTGGAGGGAAAATAGGAGGGAAAACGCGCGGGAAGGATGCCGGTGGCGAGACCAGAGTCATCGGAAGCCAGGGTAATTGCTCACATTGACATGGATTGCTTTTACGTACAAGGTATTGATACTCTTTTTTGGTCTTAGAGCTTCAATGGAGTTGCACAATTGGTGTATTATCATTACTGGAAGAGTTATGAATTCTAATGATTTCTTCATTATTGATTACTTTATACTAGATTGGGTATTGCCTAATCGTGAGCGGAGCGCCATTAATTTGCTTACTCATAGGATATTGTCTTTTTTTATGTGATATTTTTGCTTGTTCCTGAATAATTATTTTGGGAGTGGGGGCAAGTATTATGTGGCTGATCCAATCAGTTTCAAGATGTACATTTACATCCAATCCGATTGAAATGGTATTTCCTATTGAAGTTGAAAGCTACTTGTAGAACATATTAGATGTCAATTTAATCACAATTTATAAAACAGATGAGGAATTGCTATTAACATAACATCAATGTTTAGTTGCTACTTGTGCATGTGCAAGTTTGTTGATGGTGTTTCGCTAACTGCTTTTGGATATGGGACTTCTATTTGGTGCACGATCCTATCTCATGGATTCTGGCATTTCGCTTGTGGTTAATTTTGCTCAATTCAATTTGAAGCCTATCATGAATTTATTTTTCCTGTAGTTGAGCAGCGTAAACAGCCAACTTTAAGAGGGCATCCTACTGCAGTGGTACAGTACAACTCTTGGAAAGGAGGGGGTCTTATTGCTGTGGGTTATGAAGCTCGTAAATATGGGGTCAAACGGTAAATGTCAAAATTTCACTTTAATGACAAGAGTTATCCATTTGTTGGACTCTTCAATGTTGAATCTTACTGTGTCGTTTCAAGCTCAATGCGAGGTCATGAAGCAAAAAAGGTTTGTCCTGATATTCAGCTCGTGCAAGTTCCTGTGGCTCGTGGTAAAGCAGATTTGAGTATTTACCGTAATGCTGGCTCAGAGGTCCAATTTATGAATGCTTTGTGGGCCTTCTTTTTCACAAACGTACATTTTCTAACACTGGTTTATGCATGTGCAGGTTGTATCTATCCTCTCCTGCAAGGGTCGATGTGAGCGTGCTTCTATAGATGAAGTGTATCTGGATCTTACTGAAGCTGCAGAAGCATTGTTAGCAGAAAATCCTCTAGAGAGATTGGACGGAATTAGTGAAGAAGCTCTTAAATCTCATGTGTTGGGGCTTGATTTGGTAGGAGGATTTTTATATTTTGTTGTGATCACCAAGCAACAGCAATTTTTGTCGTTTATACCTCATATGCTGGTCTGTTTTTGTAATCTTTAATCATGCACTTCAGTAAGAGCTTCTACAAATAAATCGTCAATGTGTACCACAGGGTGGTGCCAACCCTCAAGAATGTGTGAGCGAATGGTTCCTTAGGAGTAATGCCAGTCATCGTGATAAATTGCTGGTCTGTGGTGCCCTTATTGTCGCAGAACTTAGACTTGAAGTTTTGAAAGAGACTGAATTCACATGTTCAGCTGGCATCGCTCATAACAAGGTCAGAAATAGCAGTACTTCCGTGTATATTTCTTGTCAACTTCTTTCCTCTCCCTATGGTCGAGATTCTATGACTTCACTTCGCTTCGTTTGTAGCCATTTGTAATTCGCGGTCTAATTAGACAACATCTTGCTTCGAGCATAGGAGTTGCTAAAAGTCAAATTCAGGAAAAAGAACTGATTGTGTGGGTAATTTATATGTCAGCGTGTGAAAGTGCTTAGATGGATAATTATGACATAACAGATGCTGGCAAAATTAGCTAGTGGAATGAATAAGCCTGCTCAACAAACCATTGTTCCCTCCTCATCAGTTAAAAAATTGCTCGAGACTCTTCCCGTAAAGAAAATGTAAGTAAATTTTCTTTTGGATATCGTCAAATTTAAATGATTTTTTTTTTCTTGATTGTAATGCTATCATTGTTGCGGTTTTATGTTGAATGACATAAGCTGCTTGCCTAACATTCAACTTCATTATTTCAAGTAATTAAAGTACAATATTTGATACAGGAAACAGCTTGGGGGTAAGCTGGGAACCTCCTTGCAAACTGAACTATCAGTGAACACTGTTGGGGATCTCTTGAAGTTTTCAGAGGAGAAGCTGCAAGAGCGCTATGGCGTAAATACTGGGTTTGTTTTTTATTTACACTGTTGTAGTTCTCCGTTGTTTATTCTACATGTAAGAATATGTTTTCCTGTATTTTTTTTTTTATTCACAATTTTTTATTTGATTTATTTAATTTCGATGCAGTACTTGGCTGTGGAACACTGCTAGGGGAATCTGTGGGGAAGAGGTTGAGGGTCGCCTTCTTCCGAAGAGTCATGGTTCTGGGAAGACATTTCCTGGACCTCAAGCTCTGAAAACAATTTCTTGTGTATGCATTTTGTAGAAGATGATCCTGGATCAGTGATTTCTCATCTTTTTAGTTCGTGAATTAACTTAATGCACTTTACACTTTGTTAAATTAGTAGTTGGCAATCTTAAATTGGTTCCCTTCATTATTGATGCCTCAAATGCAGGTTCAGAAGTGGCTTTATGACCTTTGTGAAGAACTGAATGAACGCCTTCTTAATGATCTTGAACAGAATAAACGCATTGCTCGCACTCTTACTCTGCATGCAAATGCTTACAAGGTCTTTTGTTGTTTGATTTGGAGTTTTCTTTCCAACGTAGCCATCGAAAGCTCTTATTTTTCGATTTAAGGAAGCTGAAAGCTCTTTGTTTTATTCCTTCCTCCCGCTGTTTATATCATCTCTGTGTAAAGAACTTACTAATGGACTTGCAAGGATACATTTCGTATAGTCTCATGTTCATTTATACTTTGTCCTCCAGTTGAATGATTCAGAGTCACTTAAAAAGTTTCCTTCGAAGTCTTGTCCCTTAAGGTATGGGATCACCAAGATTCAGGAAGATGCCCTGAGTCTATTTCATGCTGGATTGCGGGAATTTGCTGGGGTATACAACATTAGAACAAAGGAGGGCAAGCAGCATGACTGGGCAATAACTGGTCTCTCCATCTCAGCCAGCAAAATAGATGTGATTCCATTTGTGAGTCAAAAGTGGCTGTCTTTTGCAGTTTTGCTGATGTATCTCCTTATTAGTTATTTTTATACTCAGTTATTTGTTCCGTAGTATTGTTAAGAAGTTAATTTGATTGATCTTAGAACTTCTGCTGCATGCTAAACTCTATTTTATGTGTATAATATTCTCAAAGAATGTTTGGATTTGTGATCTAATATGCAGTAAATACTTTGAAAAACCATGTTTTTTTTTTTAAAAAATAATCGAATTATAAGAGCTTCTGAAGGTTGATATTTCATGCAGTGTGTTCAACACAATGACCAAAGAGTTTGGCGTTTGGTAATAAATTATACTTATCTTATCTATCTGCTCCATCGTAATTTTTTTCGTAACTTACATGCATTCTGACCTGCATGTCATTTTTATGCTTTCTCCTTGAATACAAAAGTCTGTCTAACTGCCTTCTTAAGATACTAATATATTGCCAGCCTCTGAGTTGGGAATGACAAAAGGTGTTATATACTATTCTATCTCGGTAGTGCCACTTTTAGAAGTGATTTGATCTTTATAACTGCTGGCTACTTCATTATTCATCTAGCAAGCTTTGCTTCGTCATTGCAGTATAAATTTATCCCAATATTCTCTAAAATGCTTTGGCAGGGGACATGCTCTATCACAAAGTACTTCCATAGACAACACCATAATGTGTCCACCTCTAGAAATGAATCAGATGACACATGTGCCCAAGATGCTGCATCTTTATCATCCTCAGGTTTGGTTTATTTTTACAGTATTGATTTATTGCTATCAGTATTGATTTTTGTCAATACTTGTTTTATGTCTTGGTGTGTTGTTAACGATACTTTGATTTATTATTCTTTAAAAAATCATATGACCATGTGACTATTATTAGGTAAAGAGAGCTGTTCTGGATTATGTTCGGCTGACCCACATATAGATGTTTTTGAGGATGAAATTAGGGATAAGCATGGCATGCCGAGTTTGTATCCAAATGGACATGAAATGGAAGTTTGTGAGGCAAGGTTCGATTTCATATATTAAACTGTTTGTATATAATGTCATTGAAGGTGGAACAGAAATGAATTCTCTTGTATTCAGAATGTGAAAGTTTGTTGATCATCTTTCACTAGTTTAATGGTTACACTTTGATATAGATGAGTGAACTACAAATAGTATCTCTGAAGATTGCTTGGTTGTCACTAATTACTCCTGTTGAGAGGATGGGGATATCTCATATCTGTAAAACAAATACACACGGCAACTTTTATTAATGATTGTCGGTTTTTATTTACTTTTGTTAACTGGGTTGAGCCATTAATGTAATTTTATGTAGAGATCCTTTAGGTCCTCTCCTAAATTAAGTGAGGTCAACATGCAAGAGTTCATATTTCATTAGGGATGAAAATGTTGCATATATGTTTAAATTGGAAAGAAGTTTACTGCCCAACAGGCTAATGTTATGTTATTGTAACATCATTTATAGTAAATTACTTGCTTATATGTGATTATGTGATTGCCACTGTAGGACACCCGCAGAAGTTGCTAACAACACTAACCAAACTTTTCAGGGAGGACTCATAGATGAAACTTCATCTTCATACACAGGTAATTCTTATGCCATTTTTCGCCATGGCTTCTTCTTCTTGTTCTCTTCTTTTCCCCCTTTTGATTGTTAGCATTTACATCAGGTACTGAAGTTGGCTTGGGATTAAAACTATTGCCGCCAAAGATGGATGCTTTTGGACCTAGCATGAAATTAGGAAAACAAAAAGGCAAGCCTGAAAGGGAAAAGGTTAGGACTTAATTATTTTAGTTAGCACAATTTAAATATATTTTGCAGTGTGAGATGCAAAGTCCAATTGAAGACTAAAGCATTCTTTTTTCTTTATAATAAAGGGAAGTTCTGTGGTATCCTATAGAGTACCATACGGTACAGTAGGTAGAAGTCTTAACCATTCTTTTGATTTTCTTTCGATGTTCCAAAGTAAATTAGAATTAGAGAAGAATATCCACAACAAATTCATTTCTCAACAGCTCTTCATTGACTTTCGTTGAGCTCGTTAAAGAATGCCTGATATATCTTCGGAGATGAGAACAATAAGCATATCCATGAATTGTTGTATCAGGGGAATTCGACTATCTTGAGGTTTTTCCACAGTCATGAGGAGCATCTGCATTCCAAAACTTTTCAAGAGAGTGGAGCATCAGCCTCTGGTATTTGCTGATATGAACTTTCCTCCAGCTATTGATCTGAATATCCACACTCTATATACTAATTTTTTAATCTTTTTTTTTTCATTATTTTGTTTTTTGTCCTCGCAATAATGTGAATTGGTCCTGTTAATATTTTGAAAGGTAAGTTGCTTCAAGAAAACCAGCAGCCAGTGACTGGAAACTCGGGACAATACGACCCCACAAGTGATGCATGGAGTTACAAAAGTGACGAGATTGACCCTGCTGTCTTGAATGAATTACCACCTGAAATCCAAGCGGAAGTTTGCGCCTCTCTTCAGACACAGAAGCGGGCTAAGACCACGAAAAAGGGTTCGAGTATTGTTCACTATTTCTCACCAACCCCAAACTCGTAAATTTATTGCAAATTAAGAATCATCTTTTATGAGGAGAACAAAAGTTGAGGTTTTTATTGTTGTTCTTCAGTCCAACTGTCCAGGATTGAATTAACACTTTGATGTCTGGGAGTTGGCATCACTCGACACTCGGTCGTGCAACAGAAAAAGGCAGCTGTGTTTGTGAATTTTTTCTTGTAGACAAAATATATAATTAGTGTGTAAATATTTCGCTTTTCAAATGTAGTTAGCTTGTTGCTTTCTCCTTATCATTTACTCTTTTATGATAATTGTTGTTGAACCTCTTAAGTTACTAGGGGCTAATTGTTTCCCAATTCAAATTCCCCTAAAAAAAAAGTCAAAACTCAAATTTAACTCAATTTTTTTTTAACTCTACTATCTTCAATATTATCAATATAATTAAATAATACATCACATCAACTTTAATTTACTATTCATCTATTCACATAATTTTAACTAACTATCATCTCCAATCATTTTTCTCCTCTTTTTACATAAAATCAACTTTAATTATTTTATTTTAAATATTATTTTAATATATCCACTAACAATTAATCATATTACATTTTTTTCAAAATTAACTATTGTTAAAAAAATCAATTAAAAACTAGTTGAATCCATATCCAATCACCTCTAATGCTTTGGTATACTCATCAATGCTATATGCACAATTAAAAAAATATTGAAGATAAAAATGTTCGCATAGTAATTTCTTTGTTCTGGTCCAATATCTTTAAAAGTCTAATGTTCCATTCTTTTAAGAGATAACTAGTGCGTACCCCATGCGATGCACGTGTAAACAATATTAAATAATAATTATAAATGGATTTTGAGTTCGAGTCACGTAAGTGAGGAATCACTATTGATACCTTTTTTAAAGAGAATTATGATGTCACGTCTGAAAGTTTGAGTACGCAAGGTTTCAAAAATTATTATTATTATTATTACACTGAGTAATCCGTGCTATGCACGACTATAATAATTTATGGAATTTATATATTTATTTATTTTTATATAGCGAAGCTGGTCTATTTTTTTTAAAAAAAAATATTGAAGCCTAATTATGTTCCGCAGTATAATGTACTCAACTAAACTGGTCGGGTCAAACTTAACGGGCCAATAACATATTACTGAATTGACCCAAATAAAGCCCAACCATGAAAGCAGACCGAATCATTAAGTGCGACCCAACTTCTCAACCCGTTATGGCTTAAAAGAATGGATCAGACGGTTTGAATTGGTCAACCGATATCTAACGGTCAGAAATCAAAGATGCCATCTAAAAAAGTTAAAAATATCCAAATTATAAGGGTTATGTCATTACTTCTCCTCCTCCCACCGCTTTCCTTCTTTATTCTCTCTTTTATATCACTTATAGAAACTTGATAAAATATTCTTTCAAATTTTCACAAAAATGCTCTATTTTTTAAACAATCAATCACATCTATTGCGAGTCGATTTCTTATATTAGATAGATCGATATTATATCTTGTCTTTATGTTTAGAAAGATGCCTCTATTATTTTATTTCTTTTGATTGTCATATTTTTTTGTGTGTTCTAAGATTTTATGTTTGTTTTTTGGTCTAAATCGATGAAAAACTGACTCTGTTATTACTATTTCGACCATTTCAAAAGCTTTTCTTTTGAATATCGAGACTTATGTAATGTGTTGTTCAATTATTTTGATTCATATTGCTTTTTTTTTGTAAATTTTAGAAATTTCGTAAGTTTAATGGACGGATCTGGAATAATTTTTCAATTTTCGGTCGAAATCCAAATTTTATTCAGTCGAAAAAAAATGAATATCGGAAATGAAGTCTCATTTTCTATTTGAATGTCTATTTGTTTTAAAAAATGTTACAAATCTTAGTCGGTTGTATAAATTTTGACTGTATTTTGAAATTTAATTTAAAATAAGGGTCTTAATCTTTAAAAATGTGTTCAAATCTTTTGTGATTGAACAAACCCACCACATTTTAAGGGCAACATTTAATGCTGCCCGATTTTTTTGTAAGTAAAAAAAAAAAGTTGCCAAAAGTGGCATGTAGTTAATGCAGATAGAATTTTGACCAAAATTTAACTTTTTATTTTTGAAAAATGTTAATTCTTATTATATATATATATAGATTACCCTGTGTACCAGTCAAATAATAAAATATTGTATATATACCTTAAAACCCTAAATATTTGTATATGTACAAGATAAACACTTCTACGTTAAAATATTAATTGCACATATTTGAACCAGATTGATTTTAACCTGGCGCCTCTCCCTCTTTAATCGCCCTTAATTGCACCTCTCTACATTAAAGCACGCACCTCTCTCTTTATCATCGATTTTAACAGTTCCTTCACAATTTTTGCATCCCTTGAAAAATTATCCTCTTCACCCCTTCAGCCAACTCTCACCCCCTTAGATCACACATCTGCCCCAACTCATACGCTGGCAGCCAGAATGTCCGGATGTGCGAGTCTGCTCCTTCACGGTCGAGACCACAGGACGCGACGAGAAGAAAGTTTTGGAGAGGGGCTGAGGCACTGGTTTAAAATGTCCGGGTGTGCGAGATCTGCTCCACCACCGCACATGAGTATTGCTGGATTAAAATTTGCCTGAGGCACTGGTTTTCGAGGAAGAAGAAGGAATGTTTTTTTTTTCTTTTTTTTTTTTTTTGCTNTTACTTTTTTTGTGTGTATCTCTAATTAGTTTACAAGTTTGATATGTATAATGTACTTTCAGTATATCTTCTGTATATATCTTGTATATAACGATATATCAATTTATTTTATGTATTTTATGGTAAGTCATTTATGACTTCATCCGTTGCTATTATATTGTATGTATATAAATAGTTTAATTAAGTTAAATATAAATATAATTAAGTTTTATTTTTGGTATATATGCAAATAAAAGCAATTCATTGCCCCAGTGTAAATTCCCCTTCTTTTAATCCATCATTGGCCCAAACCAATTCATCAAATTTTGAGAAAGATAACAGATCAATTGTGTGCCCAACCATCTCACTAGTAACTCTGGCCCAACAACACTTGTTCTAGCCCAAAAATGAACTCCCACAAACGATTAACTCCCACACACTCCGAATAACTTCAACTAACACACACGATTAACTCCCACACACTCCGAATACCGAATACTGTATCACTAGTATGTAACCCGTGCGATGCACGGGCTGTATTTATTTTGGGAATATTAAAAATTGAAATGTATTAATAAATAAAAGAGTGATAATTTGTAGGGAAATTGACAAATAATAAAATTTTTCTCATGAAAAAAAATATATTATTAAGAACTTTCTTGTACACAACATTATTTGTTTAATAACTGAGCAACTCGTCGTCCCCACAAACTGATTTTTTCAACCCTTTTCTATTACTTTCACGTGAAACAAACAACATAATTGTCCGTGACTAAAAATAGATTTATTTAAGAACATGCCAACGTACAGTAAAGGCTGATCTTGACTCTTCTTTATCTATTATTTACACGCGTAACAACAACATATAATTGGTTGTGATCAAAACCAATTTTTTAAGAACATGCCAATGCACAGCTCTTATCTATTACTTACACATAAAACAACAACATATAATTGGTCGTGGCTAAGAACCGATTTCTTTAATAATATGCCAACGCACATAAAGACTGACCCTGACTCTTAAATGGAACTTTAAGATTAGAAGTAACTGGTGTTCCTGCAACTTAAATGGAATCTTAAGATGGATCTATTTCTAATACGATAATTTACTTAGGCAGACAGAGAAATGAGTTGTTAGTTTATCATTTTAATATCGATTATACTTGATTAGCTAAATAATATTCACTAATATTTTTATAGTTTTTTATCTTGTTTAAAAGAACATTAAACATGTATGTATAAAATATTAAACACACTAAATTGTATAAAGAATTAGCAAATAGTGTGTATTAAATGATAATGGCAGGAAAAGATTGCTAAAAATGATGTAAGTCAATTCTTATTTTATATATATATATATATATATATATATATATATATTTTGAAAATTATAATGTGACATAAAAAATGTTTGCTTGGGTATTTATAACACAAAATCGTGTGACATAAAAAATGTTTGCTCAATATTATTAAAGTAAAAAGTAAAAATACTAAATAATATGGTAAATATTCCAGAATGCGTTTGTTTAGACGTGATGATTTCAAAAGATAAGTTTCTCACCATAAAAGACGCAAAAAATTTGAGATAACAGAAGCAAAAAAATCTCTACATGATTTGGACAATAGTATACCGAATGATATAGCAGTGATAAAAAATTTTACCATTCTCATCGGTTATTTTATTTAGAATGTGTAGAGATCCTGTAGAACCGTTCTCTAATATTGTATTTATCTTGTGGAATTGTACGTTTGTAATTTTCTTATAGAATTTTTCTCTAATTTTGCGTTAAATCTGCTTACGATTAAAACGTGTTGAATATTCTACAATATTAAACAACACACAATTATGGTATCTACATATTTGGGTTAATATTGATCTAAATTAAATGAATAATTTAAACTAAACAAATTTATATAGTGGTGTATCATATCGACAGTGTTTGGAACCACGATTTTCGTGTATTTATCTTTTTAAATCATCATCAAATTTTTCGGCAAATTTGATTCTACCCAGTGTTTTAAAACGCGCATCGCGTCGCGTTTTGGTCCTTATATAGCGTAGCGTAAATAACGTAGCGCATTGCGTAAGCTATTCGAGCAGTTCACTTTTAATGCCAAAAATAATTATATATATAACCATACAAGTAAATAAATAATTGAAATAGTCTTAAACCATAAACTTGGGCATTAAATCTACAAAACAACATTCAAATATTAGTTCATACAAACAACCCAAAGTTATAAGCTTCAAAATAAAGACTCACAATTTAAAAATAATCGGTCTCATCCACTATAATCGTCAATACTATCAATAACATATTTCTGACATGCGTCATATTTTCGTGCATTTTATAGTGATTTTCGTGTCCGTTTCGTCGTAGTTTGATATAATTAATTATTATATAATTAATTATTATTTAAATAATTATTTATTTAATTATTTTTATTAAGCTATGATGAGGTGTTATATTTTGAGTTTTGACAGGGAAAATGGTCGAATTAATTTTTGGAGTCGAAAGGGGCGAGAATTGATCAATTACAGTGTACGAGTCATGTTTTGAGACGGGCCCACTTGCAATGCTTTATTGGAGAGAAAGAAATCAGCTCTTTTGGGCCATGGAAGTAGCCATTAAATTTCATTA